AATAATATGAGTTTTGTTCACAGAGCAGCTCTACACCAGGTTCTGTTACTTCTTTGATGCCATATCTAATATCTGTTTATTTTCTCATTAATCCACTCAATAAAGGAAGAGACTCGAGCATAAACACCAGGTGCATTAGGCTTAGCACATCCATTACCAAATGATGTTACACCCATTAATGTATATTTATCTGAAATAAAAAATAAATGTTTTTGAAAATTATATGAGTTTGGGCAACCCCTCATTATATTGGTTAAAATACAAATTTATCAGGAAAGATAGCTTGCTAGTTAAGGGCAAATATGCCTACTGGCGGCTTTGATTTTGAATAAAAAAATATTTATCAGTACAGTAACAATCACCAGTATGAAATATTCAACCTTCAGTCATACACTTCTTTTTGATTATTAATAATATTACCAAGTTTTGTCAAAATCAGGCAAGAATTACGCCTTTTAGCGTTGACGACTTAGTAATTGAAAGTGTTTTCAAGAACTCATATAAAACACTTTTCGATTTTCGATATCTTCTGTTATTACTAAGGTAGATGATGTGATCAACTTTGCCAAAGTTTTCAGTCATCTAATTTTAACGAAGAATAAAAATAAAAACTTACTATTAATATTACAAACAAGTGGTCCACCAGAATCACCTTGACATGTATCAATACCACCTTCTATATAGCCTGCACACATCATTCTACTACTTATATCACCTCGGTACAGTCGATAACATGTTGTTTTAGGTATTAATGGTACCACTGCAGCTCGTAAAAAATCAGGATAACCACCTACAAATATTCATTATTTTAAAATTAAATTCACTGTACTATTGGTGTATAGTAATACATAGAAAATCTTTGATATACATTCACAAGAAAACATAACTTACACAGCAAGCTGTACCACCAGTATTATGTATTTCGTTTAAGAAATAAAAAGGAAAAGTTGTAATGTCAGTCAAGAGTATGTAATGTCAATATAAATATATTGTAATATCAATATAAATATGTTTTGTCAAATACATTGTAATGTTATCCATTAAAAATTGTTTGTAATGTCATCCATGCAAATATGATGCAATGTCAATTCCTCAAATATTCTACATTGTAGGTTTTCAACCACAGGAACATGTCCCAAGGTGGGGACATGGCACTTTTCTTTTGGGACATTTGATGTGTCACAGCCTGTCACATGCTGCGAA